TGCTTTCACTGGGGAACGCGTGGGTAATGGGACTCAGTGTTGGTCACTCAGGTCTGACACGTACTCACCAGCATGAGCACGTGGTGAGCTGAGGGTTGATCATGTGTTTGGTTGCTACGTAGACCGAAACTAGGATGTACTCTCAAGAGGAACGAAAGGCCAATGGCAAAAAGCTTCGACGCTCATTGCATCGCCCAGCGGTGTCTAGTCATGGACGACGGCGTGGTTGCCACCCGGCGTAAACTCTGATAAACAAATTCTCGGAAACCCCAGATCAAGGAATCTCAGGCTCCCGTATACTTATTTTGCGATTTGATATGGAATCTTCTAACCTGGAACTATTTCAAATCAAAAGGTTTTCCTTAGAAGAGCGGTTTCAGCCAAGCAATCCATAATATGACCAGTTGTGTAGCAAGTACAGCCCTTGTTACCTCTACGGACAAATGTGATAAAAGTCCATAAAGCGATTCAAAAGCAAAACAATCTGTTGAAAGATATAATGTGTCACTGAAGCGCTAAATCGGTACAAGATTCAGAAAGTGCACAACTAGCACACAAATTACCAAGAAGAACTGCACAGTAATGTTTTGACTGTCACCGCCGCTGCAGAAATACCATTTTTCGCCTTTACTGGGGACAGGTAGAAACGAAGATAAAACGTTCTTGGTATATGCTGCGAAAAACATTAATATCTTGTATTTACAATTTGCGATGGCCGACGGTAAGTTGCGATATAATAATAAAGGCAATTAAAAATGCCAACGTATGAAGGAACATCCAACTTAAGAGTCTGATTATGAGTGTGACATTTCTTGTAGTGAGTTCAGCGCTGGCAGTGGAAAGTAATCATGTAGAAAAGAGACCAATTAACCCCCATCGTTGACATTGTTATACAATGATACATTTGCATAGAAGTTTCCAGTCTCTGAAGATTCGCAGTCAAATTAACTCTCCGGGCCTTTAGACCAAAAATGAGCATTCCTCAATGTAGTCTTCACTTGCTTCTCTTGTCCGACCTGATTTTTTTATCTTTCTTGCTACCGGGGTTTGTATTATTATTCATTAGGTGATAAATGCCTACAAAAGAATCCAAGAATCCGTAGGCTAGTTGACGTTAGTAGAGGAAGGTGTTAACCAAACATATCCCCTCAAGCATATCAGTATCTGCATGTATTTCCTAGGTTCGCGACCTGGACGACAACGCGCCCGTTATGGCTAAGAGTGAGTACAACTTTGAAGTACTGGAAGGCATGCCAAGTCACACGGTAATTGGCCGGGTAGAGGCGACGGACGCTGACAACTTGCCGGAAAATCGCGTGATCTTCTACGACATTCACCCCTCCTCTACCGATAACGCTGCTCGGTTCTTCACCGTAGACAGGTAAGTAGGACGTCCATTCTAGTAGCAAGACCTATGGCAGCAATTTATTTTGAGTTGACCCAAGTGTGAAAACCTCTAGGCGTTTGGCAGGATTTGAACCCGCGCATCAGAGAAAGCCTTTGCCG